ATTATTATTATTATTATTATTATGTCATAATTATTTATAAACTTCTTCCTATCTGTTTTAATTATCATGTTATGCACCCCTGTTAATTATTTTGAGCCCAGCTCTCCGGTTTCCGGTTGACTGGTAGAGAATGCCATTAAGTCGGCTATTTGTATTGTTTTTGTGTGCAATTAAGTTTAATTAAATAAATAAAAAAATAAATTACGGCGTAATCAAGATTTGACCTATGTAACATTACATTTTGTTTTCTTTTAAACCATGAAAGAATCCAATGTGTAACAATAACAATTTTGTCAAAACAAAGGTTCAACAATGTAAATTATACTATCGAAAATATAAAATTACACTCAGTACCGAACAGACAAATACCACGGCGAGTCGGGTTTAATCTTATTATTTATAAAAAATAACATTATATTATGTGAAAATTATATGAAACGACAATACATAAAATGATTGTTACGTGAGAAGACTTTTATATAAAATGTTCTTATAAGATGTGAATGTTATATCAAATGAACGTTTTGAAATTGGTTTATTTGATTTTCGCACAAGTGAGGCGCACCGTCTCGGGGTGTATCGGAGTGTACAGCCGCCGTAAGATTTTGCCAAGTATTACTAGCCACATACGTGCCACACTCTCACCGTTAAGGTTAAGCTCATATAAACAAGTGAATTGATGCGAAATTAATTGTTAAAGTACATACATATTTTAAACTCTACGTAATTGACTTAAGATACAATTTAGTAAGTACTTAGTATTCGTGCGTTCGGAAAATAGACCAGTGGCATCATACCTATCTTAAAATAATTCTTATTTACCTATCTACTATGACGCTTTGATTTTCATCTCTCATTAATAAATCAATAGGTAAGTACCTACTAAATAGTCTATTTTATGAGCAGGGAATTGATATTTCTGAATAAAACAGTAATGAAATAAAAACTTACCTCCGTACACTGTACCTATATGTACGACTAAAACCACAGACCTAGGATTACGTGCGCTACGCTATAAAGATATCTGTGACTAAAATAAAAACAACTGCGGTGGGTGACTCATTTTTTTTTTTTTTTTTTTATTAAGGCTTGGGCAAAGCCATCAGCCTAAACATGAAGTTTAATTATGTTTCTGTAAATAGGGCCGCCACAAAAAGGATGGGCAATTTGAGGCGGCGTGCTTGGATTGACTCGGGATTCCTTAAAACGGGCCGCTACGGGTATTTTTAGTTCGTGATTCGTATAATTTCGCGTTTAAATCTTCGATTAAGGCACAATAGCACTATCCTATTCCACTTTAAACTAGATTTGACAAAATAATTGAACGACTCTTTTCCCTCCAAAAGGTCCAGAGCCAATCTGCGGTGACCATGGACGTATTATACAATCCAATACGTCCATGGCGGTGACTCACATCGCTGTTCGAGTTGCCATTGTAAAACCGTAAATATGGAGAAATAATTAGTTATGCAATTTTTGTAACATCGGGGCCATATGATTGGAGCAATACTGTATTTTTTTGTATGTTACATAAATGTTACGCGATTGTTCAGACATTTTGTGAACCGACTTCAATGTTTCTTTTTTTGTTTGAAGGAGGGTATTTCAGTAGTGGCCCCATTCAAATTAAAAATATTTCACTTAGAAAGGTGGCAAATTAACGGTCGTACTCCAGAACTCTACTCAATGCGCAAGTCAGGACTTGAGTATGATTTCTAGTGCCTGAAATCATACTCAAGTCCTGAAGTGATGAATTATTGTTTTCTTAAATATTTTTTTTTTATTGTTTTTGTTTTCCAGTTTGAATTTCACCCACTTTCCGTTTGAACAATAGAACATTGTAACGAACACAACGAAAGAAGATAAGCAAACTTTTGAGGTCGGTTCGTTTGAGATATGAACTCACAAATTTATCCAAAAGACGGCCACAATTTTAGGCATACTACACATACTACATACACTCACCCCAGCCGATGCAACTGTAACATTCCCCGCGCCTCAGCTCCGCCCTCACTGGCCGCGCGTCACGAGCGTGCTCTAGGTCAGTGCGGGACGATTAAGAACTTATTTTCGACTGTTGAGACGCGCGACCGCGCGAGACGAAAGTACAATTTGATGACCTCTGCAGCCGAACGGTTAATGTTGGGTGGTTTTCCGTTTTGTCGGAGCCAACATGTACTGCCGCGAAGGCGTTGTGTCTTTGAGGATGGAATAGTCTAAGCTTTGTGTATATGTTTGGTTAGGTAGTATTTTGATTTATCTGACTAGATTTTATTGTTTTTTTGAGGTTTGTTCTTCTAATGGGGCTGACGTCTTCAATAACGATCAAAGCCTATAAATAAATGAATATTAAAAAAAGTTACCTTTTATTTTAACATTGCAATCATGTTGCAATATAGATTCATTTTTTTTAATTTGTAGTAAAGACAGAGTAGGTAGTGAGTTTTTGACCCTGTTATGATGGTGCCAGTATTCACTTTTTATATATAATATAATATAAGGCTACACGCAAAACAGCGAGACACTTTCCATTGTGTTTAATTGACAATTCTAAATTTTTCTGTTAATTCTATTACTTAAGATAAAAAGTTATCATTTTATGCGAAAAAACTACATTGAAAGTAAAATAAAACAGTATTAAAAAAAAATCATTATTTAGTGACGCGGCGCGCAGCGGTCTCGCGTAATACTCGCCTCCGGACATTGTTAATAATAATAATAATTTATTTATTTCAGACAACGTTTAAGGTCCATTTTAATGTTAGTAGAGCTTATCCTAGATTAATACTTAATAACTAACAATGAAATTGGCCTCTGTGCGAGTGTATACATCATCGGGCAATCAGGTCTATCAGCTATCGCTTTCAGGATGCCGTTACAGCTCCCGCGCATTCTGTTCAACAGCGAGGCAGTTTTCTTTCGCCAGACTGCATCAAAGCCGTCCACGCGCGCATCTGCGAACATGCCCGAAGCGCTGCAAAAGCGCGGGAGCTGCAACAGTGCCCTGAATGCATTATTAAATTGGACTCGCAGAGCATTGTACGACTTTTGGGTATATTTGAACCACAAACTTGCCGTGTACAGTGATGTACAAAATGCCTTAAACAATGTTATCTTCACTGTATCCGTACATCTAGCAAACCTTCGAACCAACATGTTCGCCCGAACTGACAATGCCCTGCGCTCCCTTTCCATATCCGCATCATCCCTAAGATCCTCGGTCACCAAATGCCCAAGATATTTAAATTGAAATACTCTTTTAAGAGTAACACCGTTGAGTAACACGGGTGGTACAAAAGTAGGGCACTTGTTTCCCGCCTTAAAGACCATGTACACTGTCTTTTTAACATTGTAAGCTAAACCATGCGACTCCGCGTAGGACTCACATATATTAAGTAGCTTTCTCGGTGCGCTAACTGAAGGTGCCAGCAGCACCATATCGTCCGCGTAACTGAAATTATTGACACAGACGTCGTCAATAAAACAACCAAGCTGCTTGCCGCCAAGTTCCTCAATCAGCGCATTCATATATAAATTGAATAGAAGGGGTCAGCTCAAGCCACCCTGTCTCACCCCGCATTCCATGCTCCATGGATCCGAGAACTCACCCGCCCACCGCACACGGCTTTCCTGATTCAGGTACCAGAATCTAAAGAGAGATACCAACTCCGGTGGAAGCCCAGTATCATTTAGTTTCCGCCAGAGGATGTCATACGAAACCAAATCAAATGCCTTGGAGAGATCTAAAAAACAGGCATAGACGGGAGTTTGTCTATCAGTGTAATACCTGACAGTGCGCTTCAAGCTGAAAATAGCAGTTTCTGTTGACAGCCCGGGCCGAAATCCGAACTGTGCATCCTGTAACTTTACATGCCGGCTCAAATAAGAGTTCAGCACACTATCAAGCACTTTTGCTACTATCGTAGCTAACGAAATAGGCCTATAATTTGACCTGTCCGATACATCCCCGGTCTTGCTTTTGACAATCGGCACCACCAGAGTCCGCAACATATCAGGAGGTAGGTACGAGTGATTTACACATAGGTTAAATAACAGCGTAAGCACTCGTGGGAGGTGTGCACCGGCATGCGGCATGCCGCAAGTGATCTACGCTAAGCCCGTCATGACCTGGCGACTTACCACCACGCATTTTAAAAATGGCACGCTTTATGTCTTTGGTGAGAAATGTTGTTGAAATGTTCAGCTTTCGATTCCTAACGTCGTCAAACTTCCGATTGGGATGCCCCAGAGGAGACTGGACGGCAAAGTGATTTTTAAAAATATTTGCAATATTGATAGGATTGGACACCCCATCGACACTCACGGGAATACTAGGCTCAGCCTTCAATTTATTGCTATGTTTCCAAAAATTCTTAAAGTCCGATTTTGAGTGAAGTGACGCTATTAGATCCATTCTTATTTGATCTTGGTGGTTTTGACACCACTTCAACTTACCTTTAAAAATTTTACGCGCTTCAATCATAGCTTTGTATATTGGGCCACCCGATGGTTTACCATGCCCGATCCATATTTTGAAGCTGAGTCTAGCACTCGCATGAGCCTCGCTAACGTGCTTGTTCCAGCCCACGACAAGTTTTTTCTTATGCCTACTTGGTTTTTGTTGCCCGTAGGTGGTACTAGCTGCTTGACATAACACATCCGTCAATTCTCTATACAATTTATCTATAATTTCCCTATGACTAGCCTTATTGCAATTATTCCCGCTCTTAGAGGATGGAAAAAAATAAAAGAAAGGAGCTGCCCTAAGTACAGAATCAACGTGCATATTACCAAAATTTGAAAGTTACAAATGGCGGATTTCTTTAGTGTTGTACCATAATCTATCGATAAGTCATTATCGACATGCAAATGTATGGCTTGAATTTTTGTTTCTTTAGTTTACTGTAACCAAAGTATGCCTAAACATACACAAGTCTGATAATTTAATCTCGAGTGGTATATTATTATAAATGTCAACACACATTTTTAAACTTCAAAAAAAATTTATTTTTAACATTACAACTGGTAACTTATTTAGTAAAAGTCACCAAACTGCTGTGCAGTTTGTTGGCGACATGCGCATTCTTGCTTAATTATACCTACTTTACTTGTATTTAACATTACGTAGTATTAATTGTACTTACTAAATAAAATATAAAAATTACTTTAAGAGGTACGCCTTTAACCTACATTTTAGTACATATTTACATAACGTCTTTTAACTAACCGTCAAGTACAAGTCTATTCAGGTTTCTGCGGATTCTAGTATTCCCGTTAATTCCCGGGCTTTCTTAAGCAAATGAATCTATCAAGCAATTTTAACACAGAAATAATGGAAGTAGTTGTAAAAATCAATTATCGGAAATCAACAATTATCATGTACTAGCTTTTCCCCACGACTTCGTCCGCGTACAATTTTTATACAAATGAAAAATATTCAAGTATGAACCAAATCGCACCACGTGTTAAAAAGTTACCATACAAACTTTATTACCCCATTTCGCCACATTTTTTAAAAACTGTCATGCCATTTTTATTGTAAAATATTTATGCAAAGTTTCGTCTTTGTAATTTCAAGGAATATTATTTTTCATGCAAACGAGTGGATAATTTTGTTTTCAGGAACTGAGAATAGCTAGTAAATGAGTCTTGTTTAATCTAAATTGAACATAAAATTATTTACCAATAAACCTAATGATGGAATAGCATTGTCATGTAATCTAGTTACATTTAAAGTTCTGTTAAAATTTGACTCTTCAAAATGAAGCGAACAAATGAAGATGATCTTTGATCCAACGTTTATATTCGGCAGTCCTATGATTTCCAACCATTCTTTCTTCCTTTTTTCATTTGTAGGAAAACTTGAAATAATAATAATAAAACAATAAAAACCTCATAGTGAATTGTTTTAATAACAGAATATCGATAATATGTATGCTTACAAGATCAACACTATCTCAAAATAATCGTTAACAACAATCATCAAAATATACAAACAAACAGGCAATCTAAAGTAACAAAAGCAAAATTTGGCAAGATTTATAAATAAACTACTTAAATAAGTCTAATTACATAAAATATTCGGGCTATTGTGTGATTTATAGACAAAAAAATAACACATGCCTGTGCAATGTAACATTCGATTGATTTGCAGTTTTTCTAAAGCCGCATCCTTTAATGCTGCAGCGTCGCATTTTTATTAATACCTAATTATTCTCACTGTCAATATTTTTGTCCAATTTAATTATAATACATGTGAATAATTCAATAATACATTTGGAAAAACATTTGTTTTGACATTTGATGTACTTCCCTTTGACAACGGTATCATGTACCTCATGTACTTGAAATGGCCACGGTTGGCATTTAAAATGACGTTACGAATTTTCGATTCCAGTGTTTGACACAGACCAATGTAATGCTATCTCTTTTGGCTTAAGACGGCACGTAATAGTTAAACAAAGACAATAATATGTTTATGTTTTCGACGTCGAAATGCATCATATACATATAACGTCTGATTTATATATGTCAACGTAACATGTCCTTTAGTTTCCATAGTCTAAGTTCCCGCTACAGTTTTGACAATCCACGGGAAAGTCTATGTTTTTTAACTGCGCATCACATATGTTACGATATCTACTGATCTGCTCTAATACTCAATCAGCCAACTTTATGGAAAATATTTTGGTATTTTTAAATGTAACCCGTTGTTTTATAAAACACCTATGCAATTTAAACAAATAAGATGTTTGTAAGTAAATATAAGTTTTAATGACGAATGACTTACGCCACAAAGCAAATCAATATTAAATAAATATACACCTCTTTAATTCTATGTTTAAGACTTGAAACAACAGTAAATTTAAAAAAATGGAAAAGTAAAAAGCACTAGTGCGAAAAATCCAACTTTCGGCACGATTTGTAGTACGAAAAATACCACGTTTTGAGCAACTGTATTAAAAATAAGTTTTCATATGCAGGTATTCTTCTGTACCAATGTTCAAAACTTGTGATACATACATATGTGTTTTGATGTCGGGACAAGCAAAAATTACTTGCAGGGTTACACAGGCAAAGCAATGATGGACATTTAAATAAAAGTTAACATAGCTATATGTAATTTATTGAACTTTAAAACTCTTAGTTAAAGGTTCAATCAAACGTAAAAAATTACTCCAATTTAGAAAAGAGTCAAAACAATTGAAATTTAGTTTAATACCTGCGTTTACAATACAAAGTGTGTAACGATAAAAGTACATTAAAGTAGCTATTTCAAATTAGAGTACAAAAAGAACTCGACCTCTTGATAGTTACAATGTTTCAGTAATTCTAATATTTCCTTACGCGAAGTCTCCGGGATGTTATGACGTTCATTACTGAATAAATGTTCTGCTAATACGTACGAATTTCCATTCTGTTCACTCAATATACCTTTTACTATCGACGTTACGAAAATGTTCCGGTTATTGTTATAGTCGAATTTATTTTGCAAATCATTATAGAAGCACACCTTATACAAATGTTTGATACTGTCGAAATATTTATCAATCAATTGCAAAATTTCGCGAGCGACATACTTTCCCAGCAAGACGCCTACTATATCTGCGGCTTCGTCGGCTTGCTCTGGCAACTTTTCAAACGTTTTAGGATTGTTTTTCATACCTTGTCTTATAGATTTGAAATAGAGCATTGTTAGATGCATACCGACGTAGCTCTCGAAGTACATGTCTAAGGGCCAAATTTTCTGCATTCTGTCAGTAATCACTTCCTGGACTTTTAAACATAGGGCATCCTGACTTTTCAAGAATAGTCTGTTCCACCTCAATGCCCTTGTGAATGTCTCCAAAAAATCCTTGACATTTGCGTTTTCGGTTTTTGATTCTGGGTCTGCCTCGTTTACTTTCTTAAAATCACTAATCGTCTTAAAAAATGGCTCGCCAACTGTCGTAAATCGGTGCTTCAGTTCATCTTCGTTTTTACTGAGTAACAAGAATTTCGCAATAACTCTTATATATAATTTATGACACCAACAAGAACTGTAGCTCTGATTTTTTAAATTATCCTCCATAACATCTTCTTTTAAATAATTCGTAAGTATACTTTCTACAGTACTACTATCAACGTCTGGAAAATTGTTTTCTAAGACGCATAATGCAGCACATGCATGATATTTGAAATCCTTTTTAAAGGCTTCATATAAGGCCGCATAATACTGCTGTTCTAAGTTCTTTGGAACTTGTGCCAATATTAAGGAAGACCGCAAATTTGGTTTTAATTCAGATATATTCATAGTCCGAATCAAACTCAACAGGACATCCCAAACTTTCGCATCCATTTTAAACGGGGACCAATGCTTTGTAACAATCCTGACTGCACATCTTGGTCTTCTTTCAGCAAATTTCGCTAGAACCTCTGCTTCTTTCCCTATCTTCATTGCCAAGAAAACAGCTAGTTTTGTCGTTCTATTCCAAGATAGTAATTTATCAATATTTTCATTAGCGTCCTTCTTGCTAGTATTTAATTTTCGATTGGCGATACATTTTGCTCCAAGCCACCGCCAATCAACGGCATTTAAATTAATCAATGGTCTGGACTTATGAACATTTCCTCTTAAAACTGCGCCAAATTTCTTGGCATCACTGTACTTTGGTGCTTTATCAAGATTTTCAACGATTGACAAGATTCTCTTCCCAGCTAATATTGCAATGGGTCTCGCATACGTCTTTCTAGGCGATTTTTCTATAGCCTTCTCTAAAACTGAAAGATACTTCTCAGCTAGTCCATTTCCTTCATTAAAGTATAATGCTAACTTCTCTAGAAACTTGTCGTGTTTTAACGTGCCTTTTTCCACCAAAATCTTAAATTCTTTCGCCGATTCTAGAAGTTTTATGTCATGTTTTAAAGCGTTTAAATATGACGCATTATTCTGTATAACAGCAAAATTTTCCTGAAACAATTTCCTCCTGTTTATTTTAGCATTAAACAGACGTTTCAACAATTGTTCTGCGTCTTTGTCTTTGCGAACAGCTTTTGCCATAGTCTCATTAAACTGGGGATTATCGAAGCTGTACCTGAATGTGCGGTTAATATCGATCATCATATTAAGATTTTCAGTAGCTTTAGAAATCACTGCTGGATCGTCTGAATTCAAAAAAGCTTGCGCCGCAGAAAGAAGCAAGACAGGCAGCTTTGATTTAACGATTTCTTTTTCATCCTTGTTTAAGGAATACTCTTTTAAGTCTGAAAAATTTTTCACATATAAGTCCCAAACGAGTGGATCTATTGGAGCATCCTCCAACAATTTTCGCAACACGACTGCGTGAATACCTTCCTTGCAAGGAACCGTTGATGGTTTGCCATCCAATCCTATATCGTGCGCAAAAACCATAAATAAATCCCAATAAGATTGCGACACTCGCCAGACATTAGAACGGCGTACCAAACTGCGAACTATCGTAGCTCGAAAGTTGTCAGGTTCATTCTCATGCTTAACGAGAAACTTTAATAGCTCTTCTAGGTGTTCGGTTCGCCCTCCAGTTTTGCTTACTAATACAAGCATCATGTACTGTCGATGCTTACTATCTGCCATAGTCATATTCTTTTTCAACTCACTAAACGTCTTTTCAAAACCATCAAATCGATATGTTTCGTAAAGGACATCGAGAGAAGTTTTTCTCGGACACATTTTCGTATTACAAAAATCTGAGCATGGGCTTGCATCTAACATTGTGTAATCCATAAGTTGTACATCCATGCGGAGATATTCATCGGGAGTATGCTCGCAATCATTGAATATAGTAGATTCGTCACGATAAATATTGTATGGTGACTTCGGAATTTCATATGGCCATTTCTCCACTTTTTCCCCGACGTCTTTATCGACAAATATCTTCTTTTTAAAAGACTTCCTCTCATCGGCACTCAAGACCTTAATAAACGGCTCCACGCTTTTATACTCAAACCAATGCGAAAGGTACGATGCTCTTGCTAACTTGATAACAAGCTCTTTAATCTCTTCAGCATTCAATAACTTGGCTAGTGTTTTTATATCAAGAAGTCGCGATGCGTATAGTTCAGGCTTCTTATTGAATCTGTCTTTATGGTTTTCCATAATGAATTTGGTAGCTTCTGGGCTCATTTTCCCAAAATAATCGGTATTGAAGTACTTCTCAACAATGTCCAAATACATTGCCGGGCTCTTCTTGAGCAGAGTTTTCAAAGCAACAAAGAACTCTTTTTCTTTAGACGTGTATCTAGTATACATGGTTTTGTTATTTTCTAAACTATCAAAAAATACTTTAGCGATTTCCGGGCAATATTCGCAAATCTTTTTAAACTGCTTCGGTTTTATCTTATCCATTACGTGCTTGAAATTAATCAATATGAAATCGTTCGAACAATGCCAAAGGAAGCGTATGGACAAGTTTACATCCTTATCAAAATAATACTGATAAAATTCTTCGCAACGCGACGTATCTTTTAAATGGTGTTGTACCCAATTTTTCATTTTCGTAACAGCTGTCGTTATCATTTCTGGATATAAAACATCTTCTAAATATATTGGGTTTATTATGTGTTTGTATTCTATATCAAGAAGCCAAGTGGACTTCAAAGCTCGGCTAACGTAAAGCATATCTTCATCTTTTAAGGTTCTCAAGATGTAATCTACAGTTTTGTGTCGAGAAGCTAAATCGATTATGAAAAAACGGTCTACGGGCGATAGTTCTTTGGTATTGAGGACTGAATCGAGGGGTATTTGTTGTTTATAACACTCGTTGACCAGGCTATTCAGCTGTTGATGTCTCTTGCCCAGGTTGTCACCGGCTATCGTAATTGGAAGAACTGACGCCATCTGCAATTAACGAGAGATGGGTATTATTGTACAAGTAACAAACCGTCAAGCACTAGTTGTGTTTTTTTAAGGTTTTTTTTTTTGTAATGTCATTTTGTTTATTTTGGAAGCAATAAATAGAGATTTTTTATTTTTTTATTTACTAGTCCGACTTGCACAATTGTAGGTTTTGTGTTACCAGGCATACTACCAAAAGAAATGGCACCATAGATATTATTTACGAAATAATGATTTTATTTTATTTAAGAGTGCCATTCATAGACAATGATTATTAGATAATGATAAGTATTTATTTAGAAGTGCTTTACATGTGTTTTGTTACTAAAATATATTAATACACTAACAAACACATGCACTTTGACAGGCATCGTAACATGGAAACGGAGCGCAGGCGTACTAAAGTAACATGCCATCACTGCTGCTTTTTTATTTAGTAATTTGTATTCAATGTAAATACCACTACATGTAAAGACCAATCTACATATATTATTATTATTATTAGGGTGGCTTCGTTTGGGGCCTATGCAGCCCCTCATCACTGCGACCATTAACTGATCTATTGTGATCATCACTAATTACAGTTCGAAGCCAAAATCAACAGCATTAAGGAACTGAAGGACTTTCCTGGCTCTGTCAGTTTTTATTTATGTCCTCTGGGTGTGGCCTGTGCCTACCCAGTATGGAATTTCTTACGTCCATTAGAGGGCAGCACTGATTGAGGAGATGCATAAGAGTTTCATCCACCTCGTGGCAAAATTTACATTCTCTGTTTTCTCTCTACCCTGTATTTGACATGTGCTTGTCCAAGCCACAATCCCCTTTTAAGGCTCTAGTCAGCATTGTTGCCAGATTAGGCAATTTTTCGCCATTTCGCCGGTCGCGCGGCGGCTAAAAAAGTGATCGGCGACTCGGCGATATTTAGGCTGTTTGAAACGGGAAGCCATTTTAGCGATTTTAGGCTACTTATAAAATGACTGGGGAATTACAAATTGATATAGGATTATGTGGGGAATGGAGTTGTAAACTAACTCATTTAGGGGTTTGAGTATTTCTACGTGTGGGGAATTGGGGAAATAAGAGAGTTCATATTCTCCAATGTCCAACAGCAATCAAAATTGTACAATTGTTTTTCTTGATTTTTAGGGATATTATGGCTTGGGCGAATATCGGCTACTTAACAATAAATACTACTTAATATAAATTAGCGAATTAACTTCGCAAAAGTCTGGCAACACTGCTAGTCTGTAGTAGTAGTAGCATTCTGATGCTATTCCTGTCCAGTGACAGAGCTTCTCTACAGTGTTTAACACTAGGCAATCTACATATAAGTATCTTTGTTAATATTCAATTGTGTACACTTTTTCTTATCAGGGTTTGTACCGGAACAAGTCCGGCATGGAAAACTAAAACTGGATGTCATTTGGAAAGATTGGTTGACTTAAGCAAGCATTCATAGGCACATGCTGTCATAGGTTAAGCTCGTGTACAAATTCTGTTTAAAGTACAAAGAACACTATGTAGGTAAAAGACGTAAGGTACAATTACATCAGATAAAACCTCCATTTGCCTTCTTAATATTAGTAGGTACGTGAGAAAACACCAGGTGCGGCAGCACACCTGTCCTAAAAAAATTTTATTTATCTACTATGATTACGACGCATAAATTTTGGTCTCGTTTGATAAATAGATACCTATCTAAGTCTTAGAGGATGAAAAAAAATAAAGGAAACCTAGTGTAGAGGGAGAACTGGTTAGAGGGGCTCTATAAGGATGATCTTTCTCACAACGTCGACATCGAGAGGGAGCATAGGTCGTTGGCTGTTCATTGTAATATGTTGGCCCACACGTTTAACTAATAAAAAATAATGGTTAAATAATAAAAACCGTATAAGCGAGGTAGATTTATGCACAGACATATCAGAGTAAATGAGGAAACAATATTATTTTTTGTCCCTTTCTACATGTGCAGTTTTGGTTATATGAGTCAACACTCGTTGAGTCCAGCAAATCCTTCTGAGTGTTTGATGTGCATCGATTTTATGTGTTTGTGCTTTTAAGAAGTGTTTTACAAAGTTACTAACCGTTCCTTTGTAATAATTGACAATGATTGCAGCTCACAATAATGGTGCATTGTTATATTTTAGGCTGTAAAAGCCGTACAGAACGCAAAATTCCTAACATAAACTTTCACAAGTAAGTTTTAATTTTTCATTACAATCAACAAATTTTCTTGTATGAATTACTAGTGAAATACTCTAATACAAGCCTGGAATATTACGATTACATGTATTTTAGATGATATTTGAAGTGTTTTTGATTAAAAGATTTTTGTTTGCATCATATAAACATCCTAGAATAAGGAGAATATCTTACTTTTGTCAAATATGTCCATCTCACTTCTACCAGCAGTGGTTATGATACGCGAGAAAGAGAGATCAAATAAATAACATATAAATTAAATTAGACAGGCTTATGCTGATTTTAGGGATACCGTGCTTTTGCCAATTTATGGGTGATTTTAAATATTGTATCTTTTTTACTTTTCAATACTTTTTCAGTTCGAAATATGTATACTAAGTTAATACTATTCAAGAGCCAATAAAAAAGTAATGATTTGTCATAATTGTTTTATTTGGTTACTAAAACTCAACCAAGCCAAATGTGGTCTGGTGGATTCTCCCTCCTTAGACTTCGCAGATTTCATCATTGTCATGAACCCATTTATACGTCCCACTGCTGGGCAAGGGTCTCTTCTCAGGCGAGTGCTTAGGCGACAGTCCACCACACTAGCCCAATGAGGGTTGGGGACTGCACACGTTTTCCGAGGACTTTGAACCTTCTTCAACGTTTCATCACTATGTTTTCCTTCACCGAAAAGATCATGATCAATTTCAAATTTAATTTCGCACAAATTCCGAGAAACTCACAGGTGCGAGTCTGGATTCGAACCCACGACCCTCTGCTTCAGAGCCAGAAGGTCAAACCATTAGGCTACCACGACTTCATTTTCATTTCAATTTCTTTAACGGAGTAAAATTTTAAAAGTAGACAACCCAGAATTTATAGGTACTCTGTTGGTATCCCTTTTCAGTATACGCGATAAACCTCTCTATTCTTTTTTTTATTCTCCCTCTACGAAACCTAGGCAGTCTATGAGCGGGGAAATTGATATTTGACATTAAAAGACTAATAACGCAATAAAACCTTACCTCAGCGTGAAACAGCGGCGTATTATCAGGAAGATAAAACACACACTGTAATACAATGTACATCAAGAACGAACGTTATCTAATTGCCGACTATAGATGCATAAAAGCGGTTGCCGGCGGGGCGGCCCGGTGACTCATTCTAGTTTCCAATCAAATCTAACATGATTTTCTGAATAGCCTTCCTAGGCGTAACACACAAAGTAAAGTCACAAACACAAAATAAAGATGTAGGAACAGATAGGAAACGGGCGCTATATCGGAACGTTCGTTGAGGTGAGGTGAGGTAGTTCTGTTCCAAAGAGTATTTTATTGCTTATATAGGAGAATGTTCTATTCTCTGTTGCCCGTGACAGCACGCTGGTGGCGCTAAGAACCGATCTATTACTATTAGTGACGTCTCGTATAGCACTTTTCAGTTTGAAATGACGGTTAATTTTATTTTCATATTGCTAAATATTTTGTAGTTTAAAATTAAAATATAGTATTTTCTGTTATATCTGTTTATTAATAACGAAAGCTACTACCGTTTTGTAAAGGTGTTAACGCTCGAGAGAAGAAAAGGCGAAAGAAACTCCCAGCAACATATCTTTTGAATGTAAGAATGAATGAATGACAACAAAACACAATTATTAAATGTAAGGTCTCTCGGCGGCACATAAGTCAAAAATCAACATCATTCATTTATAGTAATACATCAACCGACTAAACAGAGTCTAATATTTTTGTTAATTCTTTAATTTGCAACTTAAATTCTAGTGACGTCTTTTTCAGATTTATCATTCTCTTCGCGTCTTCCAACATTAGAAACAAAAAAAATATATATATATCAAAAGATTTGTAATGAAGTAAACATCACGACCAGTTTATTTTTAACTTATCGAACTCACAGTAATAATTAAATAAAAATCGTTTATGCAAAATTCGATACATTAACAAAATTATTA